CTTATTTTGATTATATTTTTTGCATGCATTTTCATATTTTTGGCAAAAGTTGAAAAACTGAAAAATAATAGTTTACATATAAACTCGCCCCGTACCAAAAAGTTGTTACTACGCCTATGGTATGCAAAAATGTAGCTAAATCACGAAATGAAGAGACATTTCATTAAATTAAATAAGCGTGTATTTCACATCAATAATTATGTATGTATTTGGCAGAGTTCGTTGGCCTTCATTTGCAAATTATGTTCGGAAGTGAAGCGAAAGCTGATAAAAATGTAATTAAAGAAAAGTTATTTTTTATGATCTTAATATATTTACTAATATGTACATACATAGGAGGTTATGTTGAATAAAGCCCATTGATTTTTATCGAAATTTACAAAGAGGTGAGGGTGAAATATGCAATTAACGGATCTTTTAAGGTAATTAAGCTTTCTCCTAATAATATTTGTCCTTCAAGCAGATGTGGTTACCTGCTAGTTTAGAATGATCAGCAGCAAACTTAAAGACAATAAAATGCAACCTGTCTCTATGGCAGCGTTGAAATCAATCAAGTACGATTATTGTATTCAATTACATGTAGTTTTTCAAGTTTTCTTTTAAGTGCTACATATAAGATGTAGGTGTGTGCGAGCAATGACATTTTGCACAAGGCAATTACATTGAAGAACTTAAAAATATTCACGCCTCAAAATGCAACTTCGTGAATTCCACACCTTTCACCGCGCAACAACGGCTGCTTCGACTCTGCTAATATCGCCGCCTGGTGTGACTTGTTGCGATTGAAGTGGCAGTGGCATCGATTTCGGTTTGAAAATTTTTTGTAAATTCTTTTTCTCCAGCTGCTTGATGTCCAAGGCCGTAATTGCGGCTGCGGTAAATTTTTAAAAAAAATTTGCCAATTTTTTATTTATTTATAAACTGACTCACTAGAATGCGGTGCTCTGCTGCCATAAATACATATAGGTAAACCATTTGAGTAGTACTTATATATACTCGTATATACAATACATAATTATGGTATGATGTAATTTCAATTTAATGTTAATATGATTGGACAATAATAAGTTTGTATATATGTGGCCATGTAAAGCGTCAATTTTATTGTGATGAATTTTAATATCGATTGTGTTGCTAAAACGATTTATCAAAATTTAATGAGCTTGAGTATGTAAAAATTGCATTACCGGTTACGGCAAGTGGATACTCTTCCGTGTACGTTGTCAGCTAAGGTCTGCTTATTCAAAAACTGTTTCAATATTGATAAAATATAAATATCGATAGCAGGTCTTTGATGAGTTTTTTGTTTTCTGCTAAAAAAAGTTCTCGTGACATTTTACTGTTGGTTCTTAATGGAAAGGACCTTGCTACCTTTTACCAGATTACCCGAAATTTTTACAATATAATATTTTATTTATTTAATGTGCTAGTTACCATACAAGGATGTTACTGAATGAAATGTTAATATAATATCTCGAAATTCTCAAATGGCCGAGAATTAGTTAATAGTTGCCCATCTTCAAACTAAGTTTTAATTATAAAACATGTTTTGGATAGTTATCTTACCATAAAAGTAGGAAATATTGATTAAAAAATTCAAAATTTAATATAAAACAAAAGTTTAATTTATTGTTATAAAATAAAAAAATGATTAGAAAATAAAACAACAGAGAATATTTAAATAGGTTAAAAAAAATAAATTAATATTTTATATATTTTAATATTCTTGCAACCTGTGGCAGAGTATAATAGTTTTGTTCACCTAACGCTTATGTGTATCACCTAAAACTAATCCAGATAGCTACAGAGTTAGATATATGGACGACAGCTATGTTAAAAACTACTTAAAGGGCGATACATCAATAACCAAACGCGTCAGAGACATTAAATTTTACATTCGGAATGGCATAGAAGGGATACATAGGAGCTGGTGTCAAAGTTGGACAATGGGCGTAGCACTACCTATCTTTAGATGAAAACATATATCTCCGGACCTACTAAACCAATTACAATGAAACTCGTTAGGTAACATAACCCTAACATTCCTATGATATAGTGCGAAAATGGGCAAAATCGGACTACAATCACACCTCCTTCCCCTTTAACACAAATTTAAATTTCATCTGATTTTATTGCTTTTCAATATACAAATGTCAATATGGGAGTAAGTTATATTCCTAAAATTGAGTGAGTATGTTTTTCTATTACCGGTGCATTTTTGTGTCTAGAATGAACGAATCTTACCCTAGCCTCATATATTATAAATACTAATAATTTTCTTTATTCTAAGAAACCTTATGCCGAATATGAATGGTCAGTGTGTTAATTATTTATTTATAAAATTGCTTAAAAATGTGTTCTGTAGTATACTTGAACAATACCAAAGGTTAAGGCAACAAGTTCGGACTTTTTTCTGCCTCCAATAAACCCTGTTTAGTGATTTCCGACTTTCCAGCTGACTTTAAACCGTTTAGGTTAGTCAAAATTTGTGATATTTTAATAAAAATAAGTGGAAAAACTTTCTTAAAAATATGTGGTTTAGCGCTGAACATGAATGGAATTGTTTAAGACCTTGGTCCAAAACTCTCTGGTTGACGTTTTGCACATCAATTCAATATAATAAATTTCACTTCTTCGGTTGAGCTTATGTGAGATATATCTTAATTCAAGATGATTTTAATATAATTTTCGTTAACGCGAAATAAAATATAGTTATAGAACTAAGTGTGCCTTTAACCTATAATATAACTTAATAAAATACCAAATTTGATTGTATTACAATCAAGATTTTGTCGAATAATAAATGTTGCATTCTTTCGCAACATTTTTATACTCTCGCAACCTGTTGCTACAGAGTATAATAGTTTTGTTCACCGAACGGTTGTTTGTATCACCTGAAACTAATCGAGTTAGACATAGGGTTATATATATATAAATGATCAGGATAAAGAGACGAGTTGAAATCCGGGTGACTGTCTGTCCGTCCATCCGTATGTCCGTCCGTCCGTCCGTGCAAGCTCTAACTTGAGTAAAAATTGAGATATCTTTATGAAACTTGGTAGACATGTTTCTTGGTACCGTGAGACGGTTGGTATGGCAGATGGGCGTAATCGGACCACTGCCACGCCCACAAAACGCCATTAATCAAAAACAAATAACTTGCCATAACTAAGCTCCGCAATAAGATACAAGACTGTTATTTGGTACACAGGATCACATTAGGGAGGGGCATCTGCAGTTAAAACTTTTTTTTTAAAAAGTGGGCGTGGTCCCGCCTCTAATAGGTTTAATGTGCATATCTCCTAAACCGCTAACGCTATAATAACAAAATTCACTAGAAGCAAATGTTTTTAGCACTTCTATTGACGGTGTGAAAATAGTTGAAATCGGGTGGCAACTCCGCCCACTCCCCATATAACGGTACAGTTAAAAACTACTAAAAGCGCGATAAATCCAGCACTAAACACGCCAGAGACATTAAATTTTATCTCTGAGATGGTATAAGATGACTTTATAGGAACCGCGTTCAAAATTATTCAGTGGGCGTGGCACAGCCCACTTTTAGGTGAAAACCCATATCTTGAGATCTGCTCAACCGATTTCAACCAAATTCGGTGCATAACGTTCCTTTCATGTTTCTATGTCATAGTGCGAAAATGGGCGAAATCGGTTACTTCCCATGTAACACCATTTTCAATTCCATCTGATTCTTTCACTTTCCACTATGCAAATCAGGTAACAATGATTATACCGGGGTAAAACTTTGCGTGAATAATGCAATTAAAGTATGCCACCTTGCGGCCAAAAATTGTCTAAATCGAACCAAAACTGTACAAACGCCTAAGTACTAAATATATGGACCCCATTGCCTATAGTTGACCTTCTACCGAAAATATCAGTCAATCCACAAAGAAATCTCAAACGAGTATACCATATGACTTTGAGAGAGTATAAAATGTTCGGTTACATCCGAACGTAGCCCTTCCTTACTTGTTCAGTATAAAGTTTTGCCAACACCAGATGATGTGCAAGGGTATGAAATGTTCGCTTACAGTCGAACTTAGACCTTCCTTACTTGTTTAACTATAGCTTTTTGTGAAGAACATTTTTTATATAAAAAAAATAAGAATTAGTTAAAATCGTAAAATACTCAAAAAACCTTGTTAAATTTAATAAATAAGTTTGAAATTCAAAAAGCTACCCACAAAAACTTAATTAATGATACATTCATTTCAACTAAAAATATAACATTAATTTTTTCCACCAATAACGATATTTATTTAATAAAATTTTATTATCATTTTATTATAATTCAAAAATAGTAAATCGTCAGATATATTTCATTTAAAACTACCAAAAAATTTGCTTTAAAAATTAAATTAAAAAATATATGTATTTTTTCATAAAATTATATTTCAAAAACTTGTTTTTCCATATTTTTTCCCGATCTATTTTATTTACTATGCTTTTAATTGATTCCAATAAATTTATTTTAAATTAAATTAAAAATTATCCTTGAACTCAGACACTGAATTATGACTATTTACTATTAAGTTCTGGTACATACCATGAATACATATCTACACATTAACATATTAACTGCCTGTCCTTAAAAATCATAAGCATACAAATAAATATTGTACTTGTATCAAAAAATTATCAATCACTGACCTCGAAAAAAATGACTGACGTTGATATTTTTGAAATGGTCAGCCAAGTGCTAATATTAATTAAAATCCACACCGATTAGTCATAAAAATTTAAAACAACAATAAAACGTTAAACAAAGTTATCTAAAGAAAATATGCCATTAAATTAATTCGTAAAGCTGCCTTGCAGTCGCGCTCTTATATGGTTGTTTCTCGGCGTATATTTATTGTACGCAAAACATTGCATACATTTAGGCGCTGTTGTTAGAATTATTTAATGCACATTACATGCTGCCTGCTAATACTTAGTAGCTAAATAAATTATTTTTCTCTTCCTCTCTCTTCCTCTAGGACAAATTGCTGAGCAAACTAGAAGAAAGCGAACCGGATCCACCAACTTCGCAGGAAGATGAATGTGTTATCTGCATAAATGCGCGTGCGACCATGCAAACGTCACCATGTGGTCATCGTGTTGTCTGTCGTCGATGCTTTGTCAAGACAATACAAAGTGCCGTAGCACAGCGACTGCTACCACTACGCTGTGTGATCTGTCGTGCACGTGTGAATCGCCTCACCTCCAGCTCGGGCACTTGGCGCATACAAGAGTCGGCGAGCAGCTATTCCATGGGTGCCAAAAGTTGGGCTTCCGCTGGTGTCGGTGCGGGTGGCGTGCACGCCTCAGCTAGTTCCTATTCGATGGGCGATGCGCACAGCGGCCACCATGCCTTCCATCCGCATCCCGCGCTGCATGGTCGTTATCCCCGCAGTCTGAATGGTGGCGACCATGTTGCACAATCGGATAGTTTGTATTCGATGAGTTCGACGGGTTCATCGTCACTGTCGGGAGTCTCACATATGTCCGCCTACTCTAAGACGTCTTCCATTTCGAGTGGACTCTGCTCACCCGCCTCACCCATATCACCATCTGCCATGTCAGCGTATACACAGACACCGGTGCTGAATAATCATTTGGCGCCACCCGGCGCATCGACATCACATGGTACACTCACGCCATCGCCTTCCGGCTCATCCGTTTCAGGTTCACTCTCGCCACGCGATGACCATGAACATCATTCCCATTCACACTCGGGTGGTTGTCCGGCGGGCTGCTCGGGTGCTATACCGCGAAAGCCACTCAATTCTTTGAGTAATTCTTCATCGAGCGGTTCGAGTATTAGCAGCTGCAGCAGTTTTCCGCCCGTTACGCATACTTATCCCGGTCGCCGTTATACCAAGGGACGACTGACGGATCTACAAAATCGACTGCCACCAATTAAGGAGTTCCGCAGTCCAGCCAAAGTGCCACATCCTTCGCCAGTGCACATCAGCAATCCACGTTTTCGGTGCGTACTCAAGTTAACTTTTCAAAATATTTAAACCATTATGGTTTTATTTACAGTTATTCTTCTTACACCAAATCCTCATCGAGTGCGCATGAAATTACTCCTTTGCTATGCGAACCTCCTTCACCTCCCAAAAGACCCATGAACATACTGGCGGGTTCAGCTTCAACTAATGGTTTGTGTCCACCGCCATTAAAGGCTGGTGGCAGTGCCAAAATTAGTCCTCTGGTGTCGAAGAACTCTCTGCCAAAGAATGCATACACTGTGGGTAATAAGGATAAAAAGACGCTTATAAATAGTACCAGCGGCAATACCGCCAAAGTGAATGGGAAGCTTTTAAGTACAACAACAAACAACAGTAATAGTAAGAAGGCGAATTACGATGCTAACGGTAATAGCGTTTTAACGGCGTTAACCTCTATACCGAAATCGTCTGCGTCGAACCAAAACAGCAATAATAAATCGTATTCAGCACCAACCTCACGCTCCAACTCTTCCAACCGAAGTTTTCCACTATTCTCCAATACCAATAGTAATCACAGTAAGTTGAAATTTTGGGAAATGTACACTCAAATAAAGAGAGGCTTGAAGTAAATAAAATTAATTTCATTCAATTATTCGATGTTACGCTAAACCATCAGAGGATCTTGGTAAAATATCATTGAAACGCATATTCCGATTGCATTTTTAATTGTATCCACTTTCTCTCCCTTTTCTAGGACCATAATATAAAATAATACCCATAATACAACAGATCGATTTAGTATTCATAATCCTACAGAAGTAAAAGAACATTAGCTATTAGCTTTAAAAAACTGAAATTAAAAATAGAAGTCGAATCCCGAACCCATGACCACTGACCTAATCTCAAGCTATTGCTTCTATTATTAAACTTTCTCGGATCGATTTACATAAACACTCTAACTACTTGACTTCTCTTCTTTTTGAACCAGTTATAAGTTCATTTAAAGTCCCTTCAATTCTAAACCCTTATTCAATATTCTTTTTCATTTTTAGTTACCAGGCATCGTAACCAAGCTCCGACTGTAAGCTTTTATAAATATTGTTAAATTTTCTTTGGATGCACTATATTTTCATAGAAAACTGCAGAAATGGCGTTGCATATTATTATTCAACTTAGTATAGTATAAACCCGGTACCAAACGAAGTAAAGACTCTTATATATAAACAGAGGGTTCTCATAACGCACTTGAATTTCCCTCTTCCAAGTTTTCGAAGCAAATATTTTAGTCCCTGAATTTTGTTTCAGTATGAAATATGTGACTATTTTTAAGAGGATCGTCCTTAAAGCTGTTTAGACGAACACTAAACTCTATAAATTCAGTAAATTATAAAAATATATATCGATTTTGCGTCAAATGTATTGTTCTACGCTTTAAGCCTACTAATCACAAACGAATTTGATAAGAGAAGTATAAATATACTCCCAGGATTATCTTTGCCAGCCGAGGGAAGATCGCTGTTAGACAGACTTTTTTTTATTGAGATAATTGACGCTCTATTTAGCAGCAATTATTTACAAATACATATGTGATTACACTATGCTCTCACTTAATATATCACTTTTATCTCTTCGTCACTGCTTGCAATCGAACTTGGTTCCCTCAATGTCTAGAGTTCAAACTGCCTTTAATTTGTCACTCTTAACAAAGTTTTTAAATTATCTAAAAACAGTGTAATATCTATTATCAGGAAACTTTTAAATAGCAGAGTAATTTCCATCACCGCCTCCAATTATATGTGATGACAGATAATTTTAATAATTTCCGCACGCTCTCCAACTCTTCTTCATTCTACAAGTATATATGTATCTATCTATGAGTACATTTCTTTGTTCTCTTTTGTTTCACATTTTGCAGAGGAGAAAGCCGACAATAAGAAGAATGAATCTATGGAGCGTAAAAAGAAGGAGGAGAAACTTAAAATGAAAGCGGAAAAGGAAGCGAGAAAGGTGGGTGTACGTCAACGTGACGATACTGCAACGACACGAACTAACGGTGTTTGTAAAGATGAACATAACAAAAATACTAAGCAAAATAATATAAAAAATGTTGGTGGTGATAAAGATGATTATGAGGATGATGATAAAGAAGATGATGCACAGAACGTCAATGATGGTCGCAATGGTGGTGGTGTTGGTGTCGGTGGTGGGTTATTTTGCTTGTATAGTGGTTTGGCTGCCTGGAAAGTAATGTCGGTAATTGGTCTATCACACACAACTTGCATTTTCATTGTTGAGTTGCACTTCTTTTTTCGCTTATTCTTTTTACCTTAAAATTTGCCTTCAACCTTGATGTATTCTTTCTGTTATCTTAATGCACCGTTATGTAGTTTTTTAAATTTCGTGTGAAATAGCTTTATATTTACTATATGTATGGCGTTTATAATAAGGTTTAAAACTTTTCCATCATCAAGAGCCAACGGAAAGCAAAATCTTGATCTTCTAGTTCCTAGCGCCAAACATATGTCGAAATCGATGACTGAATATATAAAAGTGCATTATTTTCTTCTACATGAACCAATATCACTACAAATACTGAGCCAATAATGCTTTATGTTTTAAAGCGTATTTTAAAAAATAATTATAGACATATCGGCCTTTTATCTGACATGTTAAAGTATTTTATTAATTGCAAACCCAATAATTCTAAAATAACTTCAAAAGGACAACAAAAACTGATCAGTAAGATCATAATTCTTGGAAATTAGAATATGTAATCACACAAAAAGTCCTAAGGCGGCCACGTAATCAAATTATTTTGAATCCATGACCATCAGCATAGTAGGCCCGTTGTGGACTATAATCGCACAGAAAGCTCTGTGGCGTCCATATAACCAAATTGTTTTTGACCCACCCATAATAAGCAGAGTTGACTCATACTGGACTTCCACACCAGTGACAGACACCAAAATCCTTCTATTCCTGCAAGAAAAGTACTTTTTGGTTCAAGAGTGAGAGCCAGTTCTTTTCGGCCACTACTTCATTTGCGATTCTTGAGTTTAACTAAATAATAATAGAAGTTTAACACTGATTTGCGAGTAACTATTCCTTCGTGGAAGAAATTTCCGGCCAAGGCCAAAGTTTTTTTCCAACTCGCAGTGACCCGATAGCAAGCAAATTAAAAGATCTCGTTTGCATTTCAGTCATTATAAAATATCTTAATGTTCAAAGGAAGCTTAGACTCTGAATAGGCATGAGAAAGTCTTTATCTGATCTAATATAAACTTCCCATTTTTGTCCCTACAGCATTAAGGGAAGAGTAGCCCGCCAAAGAAACAATTCTAGAAAAATTAACAAAATGCCTAATTGAATGGGCTAAGGATTAGTATCTAATTTAGTAAAGAGTTTTTGAGGCCTTAGCATATTTAATATACGTATAAATTTATCCATTATCTTTACGTACTAATTTCTTATTTTTTCAACTTACACATTTTGTATTCATTCTTACATAAATGTTTGTAGCCTAGCCTATAGCTATTTTATTCCTCTTTTTGGCCTTTTATATTCCAAAGGAATACCTTTTAATACAAAAAGTAGGTTTAAAAGCACTTTAATAGCGCTCTTCCGCTATTCTTTAATCTCTATAAATACTTTAATAGACCTTTTTCTGTTTTCTTCGTGTCATTGTTCTCAACTCCTTTTCATATTCATGATTTTTCATTCTCCACCTCTTAACTAGTCTAATTCTACACAATTTTTAAGTTTGTCACGAAGTTTGTAACAACCATAAGCAAGAGTCGGAGACCATATAAAATATGTATATATAAATGATGAGAGTGAGGAGCTGAGTCAATTTAGCCATGTCCGTCTGTTTGTCTGTATATACACGAACTAGTCCCTCAGTTTTTGAAATATCGATCTGAAAATGTTTACACGTCCTTTTCTTCCTAAAAACTACTCATTTGTCGGAACCGCCGGTATCGGAACACTATAGCATATAGCTGCCATACAAACTGAACGATCGGAATCATGTTCTTGTATGAAAAGACTATTTTTATTTGACTAGATGTGTTCACAAAATTTGGCAGGCATTACTATCCAAAACAACGGTATAATCATATCAAAATCAAGTTTTTGTATAGAAAACTTTTTTATTTGTGAAAGGTATAAAATCGGTGCAATCGAAGTTAACGTTTTTATACTCTCACAATAAGTTGCACAGAATATAACAGTTTTATTCACCTAACGGTTGTTTTATAAACTTAAATTAATCGAGAGAAATATGGAATTATATATATATATATACATATAAATGATCAGGGTGACGGGACGAGTTGAAATCCGAGTGACTGTCTGTCCGTGAAAGAGCTAATTTTAGTAAAAATTGAGATATCTTGATGAAACTGTCGAGTCCACAAAGTGCCATTCAACGAAAACTTATAAAGTGTCATAACTAAGCACTAAAAACTGTAATTTGGTGCAGGGGATCGCAATGGTGAGGAGAACTTGTAGGCTGAAAATTTGCTTAAAGTTTGCGTGGGCCCGTCCTCAAAATGGTTAAATGTACATATCTACCAAACCACTACGGCCATCTCAACCAAACTTGCTGAGAAATTTCAACCAAATTTGGTGAGGTTACACAATTATTACTATTGCACACTATGGAAATGGGCAGAATCGGTTGGCAACGCTTGCCTACTTCTCGTATAACAAACTTTTAAATTCCATCTGATTACTTCACTTTACACTACACAAATCAAACACTAATGAAGTTATTAGGGAAAACTTTGCACAAATAGTGTCCCCAAGATATTTAATCTAACGCCCTGAAATTGTTGAAATCGGACTATAACTTTTTAAAGACCCAGACACCAGATAGGTATTTTAATGAACACATCGGTCAGTCTTTGAGTTCTAGTATTGAAATTCGGGGAGAATATTTTTGTGATAACAGCATGCCCTTGTGTCAAAAGTGGGTAAAATCAGGTCAATACTTCCGATTACACCCGAACTTCGAGCTTTCTTACTTGTTTCTTGTTGTCTTTATTTTTGAATTTTCCCAGCCACTTAATTGCTAATCCATTTTATAGTATATATGCGTGTTGTTACCTTTTTTTTTGCTCAATCGTGTGCCATTTTATTGTTGTTTATTATATTCAGCAACTATTTGTTTTTTAGAGCTTGCTTTAAATGTGTGTTGGGAGCTCCTTCCCTTCCGCATTTCCTTTAGTTTATTTATGTCCTTTTGTTCCCGACAACAACCGCCACAAAATGTGCCACACACGCAGACACTAACAAATATCATAGCTAACAGGAAGAGAACTCGATGTTGCCGTACGGTTGTATGACTGAGGGAAAGGACAAATAGGCGTAAAGCCATATGCACCACATACACAGGGTTGCTTTTGTTTAATATTCAAAACTTTATAGTTTTCTATGTGTAGCATGTCGCATGCATTACAACAACTTCACGACAACAATGTGGCTGAATGAATGTGTGAATGAACGAATAATTGCTAATTGGCTCACATACAAAACAATAACTACAATAGAAAACTGTTAACAAGAACAATCAACAATTATATAAAGTTTTCATGTTATATATATAGTAGCCATTTTTTTTCTAATAATTAACTATTTAATTACGCATACAATAATAATTAGCAATAAGGAATTATTTGTGTGTAATCAGAGTTCGTTGGCAGATGAAGTTTTTTTTTTGAAAACAGAAAGTATATATATATATCTACATATATCAGTTCAGCATATATTATTATAATTACTTAGCTAGCTAACGTAATTTTTTCACTGTATTCATTACACTGAGGTTCTAAGAGTTAAAGTTACTACTTTCAAGTAGATAATTACTATGTAATTTGCGCTCATACGACTCATTACCGCTACTGTAGCAAAAAATAATCGTTATTCTCTCTTCCCTTGTCGTTTATAACTTTCGTTTTGCAGGAAGAGAAGCGTCTCGCCAAGGAAGAGGAACGTTTAGCGAAGCTAATTGCTAAGGAAGAGAAGAAAAAGGGCAAAAAGGAAGCTAAGGAACTACTCATCGCAAATGATGGCAACTCCAAGAAGTGAGGATTATAAATTGCTAATGAAAATATATGGATTATAAATGTATGACGGAAGAAGAGTTATAAATAATATTTAATAAATGATAATTACCCATTCCAACAATAAAGCGGCTTAAAAAATGTATCTTCAATAACTCGAAGAAACACTAAATAACAATAAAAAGTGCAATTATAGGCTGACAAGACTCAAGTGTAGACAAAATATACTTGTTTTCATGCGAAAAGTTATGAATTAGGTGCAAAGTGTACTAAATTACTTGCGAGAATTACTAAATTGTGTTCTAAAATAACTAAAGCGAACGGAGCATATAATTGAGTACTAATATTCTGTATGTATGTACTCAATTCTGTACTAAAATTGAGAACAAAAACTACAAATTTAAATGCAAAAAGTAGTAAAAGTAAATTTTTTACTAATATTACTAAAAAACCACGTAAAATTTCTATTTACATACTGTAAGTCTAAAAATACGCTCCAGATGTAATGAATTGTATTCAATATCTACTGAATAATATGCAGGAAGTACTAAATTCTGTACTAAAAGTAATAAATAGTATGCGAAAGTACAAAATTACGAGCAATATGTACGATATGTTTACCATAAGTACTACATTTAATGGAAAACTACTGAAAAACCGAAATTTGTCGTGCTTAATAAACGGAAATAAATACAGAAAATACTGAATTGTAACCATAAAGTTCTAAAATAATAAATAATAAATTTAAATAAACAGCACTATCGTATCAGACCAGAAAATTTCATAAATTTTATCAGTACTACTAAATAACAAGCAAAGAATTCTAAATTTCATACAAAGTGTGCTAAATTGCGTAAAAGTAAATGCAATAGTAGTAGAATATGAGCAAGATTATACAGAATCAGATAGTCTAGCATAAATTCCTCAAGTATTTCTTTACAAACCAAAAGTACTAAAAGGGAACTCATACTAAAAACCACTACTCTTACTGCAAACGAGTAGTACTAAATTTTATGAAAACGTATTATGTTACAAAACTAAAGTATGAAAAATTCATAGAAAAGTGCTGAAATGCTTTATAAAAATACAAAATGCACGCTGTAAGTAATAAAATGTCGTAAGCGGTACACAAATAAACACAAAAATTACTAAACTGCTAGGGGGTATACAAATGGTACTAAACTTCAAACGAAAATTACTGAATGCATGCAACAAGAACTAAATTATGTACTAAAACTACCTATTCAAAACTATACACTACTCCAAAGCAACTCTGAAATAAAAACCACAAATTCTTCAAAAAAATACATATTTACAACTACATACAGAAGCAAAATTTCTAAATTACAACAAAGATTCTAAGCAACACAGTAACTACTACTCAGTACTTTCTAAATATTGCTATAATTATAGCAATGGTATAAAAAATCGTTAGCTACGTACATAGGTACGTAGGTGCTTACTTATGTGAATTTAACTAGTAAGCTGTGCACTCCCTTATCGGTACATAATATATTCATTGTACTATGAAGTGAATATATAAACGATAATTTTTAATAAATAAAAATACAATTACATAATATTAACTTAAATTGTACTTTATATCGACCTAAAGTAATTGAATTTTAATTAATTGATGTAGTTAATCCAATAAATGCCAATTGACAAACACCAAACCGTAATAAATAGAATTTGAAAACAATCAAATTAAAATAAATATAATTTTAAATGGTTTAGTGCTTCTAAATGTTTTCAAATCTATTTTAAAATTTGTACATATGTATTTTAGATTTTCTTTTAAAGAAAAACGGAAAAGTTTAAAATGGTTCATAAGACGTTCGAGAAGAGTATTTCAACATGGTAACCCTTTTTTCTGAGACCACACAACTGTGGAAGTTATGGTGTGGATTAATAATACATCAGAGTTCTATCTTTTATCAATTACTAAACAAACTGAATTAAACAACTGAATAGGTTTAGTCCTAATTTTTTTTTTATAAATTTATTCTTCGTACTAAACTCACTTTATGATCGTCTGACATTCATAGATTAAATTTTCTTTTGGGAAATTCATATTACTTGTCAGACATTTCTTGCCAATAAACCATTAAAAAGAAAAGTTGCCTCAAAGTCTTCTATTAAAATTCCACATAATATTTATCTAAATGGAAACATATATTCGTACTCGAAATGTATTTACATATGTGTATGTAATTGTACATACATTTGTTTCTGAAAATTTCTTCTTTTATTGTACAACACTCTGCCGCCAGTTGCAGAATTCAAAGTTGAGAAGAGGCCTTAACGTAGCACATAACGCTTTTCTGCTTTTAACGTGCCGGGAATTATGATATAGATAAGAATAAAAATAAAAAATAAATAAGCCGACTTCTATTCGCCACATCTCTGCTCACTGGTTTTTTGTTTGTTCGGTTCACAACCCGTAATATTTTCTTATGTCTAGGAGGTTCGATCATATAATAATACCAATGTTTGACTTTAATCACAATTTCCTTAAGTTTTTCGATATTATTGAGCTTGCGTTGTGGCCGCCACATGCGACAAGTTGTTTACGATCTCGCAACACCCATAAATGATTTACACCAACACGGAAAAGGTTGTAGCAAGTAAACGGAGCAGACTTAGTAAAAATTTATTAGGTTACTATTTCTTGGATCTCTTCTTTTTTTTATTTTATCCGCTGAAGTGTTTTGCTTCAATATTTTTAACAAAATTATTCAAAAATTCGTTCTGCATATCTAAATACCTACATACATACCAGTATGTATATATTTTTTATAAGGATAAAGAATAATAAGAAATTAAATTTTACTTATGTACATCTTTGCTATAATACTTTTTATTAATATTTAATTTATTTCCACGTCCACTCTTTTATCTACTTTCGATATTTACGATTTTTTTAAATCCACAAAAAATTGTTGCTTATTAAATCAAACTTTTATACACATTCCTATGCAAATATATTTTTATTTTTAGGTGTTTATTCTTAGTTTACTTAAAAACTAGCGGTTAAAGTTGTAAGAAAAAACATTCAAAAATACAAAATAAAGTCAAATTCTAAAATTAAAATTCTTCTTACTGAAAAAAATTAACAAAAAATACCTAAGAAATTATTCAATAACTTAATTTTTTACAGCAGTAACTAGAAATCAATAGGTGTATGTCAGTAGAATTTTCAAAGAAAAAAGTTGCAAGTGTATATTTTATATTAAAAAGTTTATTGAAATGAATATTTGAAAAAAAATATATATTCTAACTTCAAGTGAGTTATTTCTATAACAGATTTTTACAATGAATAATTGTATTAAAATAAAAAGGTTTAGCAAGAATATTTATAGCATATACTGTATGTAGTTTCAATCCAATGAAAGTATGTATTTGTACTCAATATATGCATAGTTCGAAATGTAAAAAAAAAACAACATATTTAGTAGTTTTCGTATTTACATTTACATAAAATGAAAATAATTTATTACTAATAATTAATTTCCATTGGCGAAATGCGGCGCAATTTTCTGTACACACATATGTACTAAACTTTATAGACTTATATAGATATGTATATACTTCTGTATGTATATTTAATTTAAGTACCGTTAATATAATACATACATATACATATGTATGCTCATATATCACATATATGATTTGTGATCATTAGTTACTTATGTTTGTATATTTTGTGATTAGCTGTAGGCAAGGCGAGCAAAATTCTATACACAATTATTTCAATTAAATGAAAAGATTACAAATGGAAAAACAAATAAAACAAAAACTAAACATTAATCGTGTGTCTATGAAATGTCTGAAATTGAAGGCGAATCAAAGCGCAACAACAAGAAATCAGTAAAGATCATAAAGCTGATGAAGCAGATTAGCTACATATAAACATACTTCTATATATATATATATATACATCCTTAAACAGTATATAAAGAAGACAAAGTAATTTTAAGTAATTAGTTAATATGTAATTGAAGTTATTATGCATTGGTGCATACCAACAGCTATGCAAAGCCAACCTTAACAACAACAACAGTAACATTGAAAGTATTCAAATGAAAAGCAATGAATTTTATGTTACAAGTACATATAGTGTTAAATTAAGAACAACAATAAAAAAATTGTTATTTAGTTATAAAATATATTGAAAAGTGTTTAAATCATGTTGAAGGTGAATGAAAGCAAATGGAACCACTTTAGGTGGTGTAATTTTACATTAGGGGTATTCCCACCAGTTTTGTTAATTATTTAATCGTTATTCGGTAGTATTTTACGTGGATTTTGTTTTTATAAAATTAAGAGAGTTCTACCGAGTATCGAAGTACCATTGTGACAAGCTTGATGAATTTTTCGTTACTTGGTAACAAAAAGTTCATTTGATTCATTGCGAAGAAAATACATTTGCTGCTCGCTACAAAATAAATTTTAGACAAAGTTTTCTAAAATAATATTTAATGAAATTGAAACAACTGTTTTGGAACAACATTTACCACACTGCTGAGATATAGCAAAAAGTATGTTCACAATAAAGTGTTTTAACGAAGTATCAACTCACAAATTATCAAAATAACATGCTCGGTTTGAATACCCCTATTAAAGATTTAGATAAGTAATACAGTACAGTGGTACAAGCATAAAGATTGGATATCAGATAATCCCATACAAATTTTTTAATGGAGTTAAACCACGAGACCTAGGTAGGCGATTGACATATCCATTTCTTAACATGATTCGGTACCTAAAAAATTTTGCTAATTAAGTTAGGGTTTCATCCAATGTTAGACAGTACAGTAGTAAAGAAGCATATGCTGTAAACAATCCTGGACTTCATGTTCTGCATGTACTTACCTATATACTGGGTATAAATGTCAAACACATATATTTACTAGTCAGCTGGTTCGACCGCTTTCTGAGAAATTTTATTCCCCTAAAGAATACCCTCTACAAGATAGAGTTAAATGGAAAACAGAGATATACACTTACTTACTCAAGATGGTAGCAATTCTCATTAACAACTTGTATAGTTATTGTTTTAATTCATTCACAGGCTTGGTAAAAAAAAAATGTTTGCAGAAAAACCCAATCTAAAACTATAAGAAAACTATGTGTTAACTACATATTATTCTTCTTTAGTAGTAGAGAGGACCTTGGTGGTCAATGTATTTAAAAATCTACACCTGCGAGAAATAATTCGGCTTTGTTCAAAAAGGAGTTATCCCATAGTAACCAACATCATAACTAGAGAAACTGGTATACATACTTTATAACACATACCAACTTACCTACGTCTGCGAAACCTATTAACAGCCATAAACTATTTTAACTACCGTCGGTTGGCTGGCTGAGCAAGACTCGAGAGGCCAAAGCGGATCTTCCGCCGCGTTCTCGAACTCGTGTCTGGCTTCTAGCCGAACCCTCCACCCCAGATGAAATCAAGGAAATTTTGCGCTATTGCAATCCTTCTCTACCCACCCACGACTGTAGAGTGAGTAAGCTGCAGAGGACCGACGAGCCATATCAGCAAGCGCTGATAATATTACACAAGGAGTCCTTGAGTGAAATTAATGTTTTCCTTTCGCTAAGAAGAGCTGTGGCAGAGGCAAGATAAACAATGGGCTGTGCAATAATATGCAAGTCCGAATTAAAGAAATCCAAGAGAGTCTCGCGAAGAGCCTTCTGCGGCAGTGCAAAGGGCTGTCATGAGTCCTCAAGGTTTAGGCGCATTCTGACGAAAAATCGTATTCTACTAGAGTATCTAAGAATAGCTAATACTGGATAGACCGTCAGTGGTAAGAAATTGTACAGCCTTCTTGTCCGTTAAGTCCCCGAGCCCTGATGTTATCATACCGGCGAAACTGCAGCAGAAACTGAGTTGCACATTAATAGTAAAATATCGAGAGGTGAATATTTGAGGGTCCAGCATGTCTACAGCAAATGCAGATCGGTCGACACTTTTCTGCTCGCTGTAGTTTTATGGCTAAGGAGTAAAGAATTTGCGGTAGGCACCTTTCTCAACATCAAAGAGGCCTTCAACAATATGCGGATGGAGGCGGTGATTAAAGCATTCGAAGAGTTTTAAGGTGGAATCGGACCTCAATCACCCCATATATAGTCTTCTTTGCGACAGAATGGTCGTAGCGGAGTGGGGTAGTGCAAAGGCCTCGTAAAAGATTAAAGTGGGCATCCCGCAGTGTGAGTTAATTTTCCCACTAGTGATAAATGATCTACTAATGGAGCTCTACTGATGATGGTCCATGCTGGTGAGCATTCACACCGACAGAACAGCAGCAATACTAGCATTGAGCTCGCTAACTGTGCGCCCAAAGTTAGTCAAGGAGTGTTTCGTAAAATTGATTTGTTAAATTTTGTTCCGATTCGTTTGTGTAGCAAGTCATAGCGGAATTGCTAGTAATGCTCACGTCGAAATGGGAATGATGCTGGATCTCTCCATTGTTATCTTGAGTTCTGAATCAATGGACTTCACGTGAGCTTAGCAGTACGGCTGCATGCGGTACGGCTAAAAATCTTGTCAAACGCAAGTTGTCAAAGTTGTATAAAGGAATTTGAGCTGGAAAAAATCAGTCTAGTCGTTGCAGGACTGCGAATATCGTGGCAGTCTTAACTTCGGCAAATCAGGGAACATAACCGAAACTGACATTAGCCGCCTTAACAAAATTGTGATAGGCTCAAAGCGTTTGTCGATTTGTGAGGGTCTTATGATCAATTATAGAAGAGTTGTGAGTACCACAACGGATCGTTCTAAGATGTTCAAGTGAGATCACAGTTAGGATCGAACTCTTAACCAAACGTAACCTACTGACTCAAAATAAAAAGTGGTACTATAAGGTGGATAGGTCATAGAGGTGACACAAATGAACCATAACTTTGAATAACTCGGTTTCGGGATAATCTTATAGTAATCTTAAGTTATAACTAGGCTTCCGCAACACGGTTTGCATGTGGAGACTTTGAGCGCTTATCCTTAAGTGCATGCTTATAAAACCGCAAGGCCGAGGCGTGTTACATATATTACAGTCAATTTATTTTTATATGTAACAGCTGTTATTTAAAAGAAAGCAACACAAGGCTTGTTGTTTACAGAAAATATATTTATTTATTCAGTCCTGATACTTCTTCATGACAGGTTCAAACAGCTCGCCAACGTGGTCTGAAATTCGTTGCCCAATTCGCCCGTGCAGCCAAGGCCCCCCAGCTTGTGTATGACCGCATAATCAAAACAATCCACTTGGTTATCGCCATTGCAATCCTGTGCATACTTAGTCATGTAATTCTGTATGGTATTCGCAGCGCAAGAGGGATCACTTACGCAGTTGGCGTATGCTGTGTGAATGAGCAGAGAGCAAAAAATTTAACATTTTTCTCAGTGTCTCATTAATATTGTTGGTAAACACTTACCCCTTTCCGATTCTGAGGATTCGCCATTCAACGTAAGCTTACCACCGTCAGACCAGTAGGGCCAAGAGATGCGGTAGAGGCCACAGACGTCGCCAGTACAAGCGGCCGTACTATTACAACCGCTGGTAGCCTCGCAAAGACACCCCAGGCAAACGTCGGTGACCGGTTTTTCTTTAAATAGCAAATGAAGAGAATGAGATTGTTTCATAAAAAACCTGTTTAAATGAGTTAAACTCTCTCCTCCAATTACACCACTCTACTCGGGAAAAACTGGCGCCCCCTAATAATGCCCACCACATACTCATCAATACACCACACCAGATGACACCACACAGGACAACACAACATACTATCTTTACATTCGCTTATCGACTACGGGCCTGAGCGCCACATCATCTTTCGCTTATTAGACCGCTAATACAGCAATCCACGTTGCTGAGCACCACATGATATTTTTCGCAAAACCAGACTTGTTCCGCAACCTTATTCAACATATCAACGATTCCGATAGACATCCGTAAGAGTAACCGTAAGAGTACCCTTCGCCTTCATCAACTTCATTTTTGGATATAAACGTCACCACAACAATCCCGCGCGCTCCGGTCAATTTAATACGACACCGATGCGCTACTTTGAACAATTATACACTTACTCGATACATTTACTTGTGTAAAATTAAAAAAAAATATATATAACCAACAACATACTTACATACATACATATGTATACATATATTGGTATATACAATTTTATATAATATTTTCAAAGTCCTCATAGGCAATTATCCGGCAATACCCCTGGTAACAAACAAGCAGGATTGCGTACAAAAAAACTAAAAGCACATTGATCTCTTCAACGAGCTCTCAATTGCATTAGAAAATTACCATATATACGCACAAACAATCCGTGCATACTTATATACAAAGTGTATTGATATCTTCAACGAGCTCTCAATTTCACGAGCACATAAATATATACTAACAAGTCCGTGTATTAGGGTGTACCTAAATACATCAACATAAGGACATAAAAAATATTATTGAATTAACAGTGCGATTTTTATCAATTAAATTAAATAAAGCAATATATTCAAAAAGTAAATTCAGTTTACACTGAAAAAATAAATAAAAGGTTATATATTAATAATTCATTGAAACATTATATAAATAACATAACAAAAATGGTTAATGGCGACAAAAGTCAAACTACACCTGTAGGAGCTACACGCCCAAAACAGGTTGCCAAATTCATTTCTGAGAGTGACAGATTAACACGATACTGCACTCGATTTTCATCTTCACCGCTTCAAGACATCTCTGAATCGTTATTGGAAATAAAAAAACAAAATATTGACAATTTTTGGACTCGTCTCCAAACGGCTCACGACGCCATTGTAGATTATGACAATTCAGATCTACCACACGATTTTAAATCATCGGCTTACGCACTATACGAAAACTGCTTAAACCAGTACGAAGAAACAAAAGCTATGATTTCTCGTACTGGTTTCCGGGACATGTTTACAGCCGTTTACATAAACCACCCAAAATTAACAAATGCACAAAAATTGTATCACCTCCGATACAAAACAAAAGGTCAAGCAGGCGTCATAGTCAAACAGTTCGCACTAAATGACGAGAACACGGGTTTAGTTTCAACTACAAATCCCGAAAACCACAATACCGAAAATTGCCAAATGACATCATGCTGCTCAAAGGCACAAAACACTCAAACGCTACACAGCGAAATACAAAATAGGGTATTACTACCCACAGCAGTCGTCTCCATCGAACACCGAGGAGAGCTGTTTAAACTTAGAGCCTTAATAGACCAAGGATCACAACGATCTTTCATAGCGTCTAGGGCTCAAAATAGGCTACAACTGCCAACAAAACTAGCCAATTTTGAACTTACGGGAATGGGCGGAAGAGTAGTCCAAAACTCAAATAAAATCTGCCAATTACCCTAATTTCCCCCCAAGCGGATAAGCACATACAAGCAGAAGCTATAGTCTTACCGCAACTTACAAATATGCTTCCAAGCTATCACATAAATAGCAAGCATTGGCAAAAGGTTTCACACCTAAAGCTAGCAGATCCCAACTGCAACACTCCCGCTCAAATAGACCTTCTATTAGGCAGCGATCTCATACCACAGATAATACTCGAAGGTATTGAGAAAATTTCAAGCACACTATTGGCACAAAATACTATTTTCGGTTGGATCCTAAGTGGTCTAGTTACGGAACCAGTTACAACAATGACAACTCAAGTTGAGGAAATCTCAAACGAATACCTCAATTCACAATTGAAAAAATTTTGGGAGTTAGAAGAACTCCCGCTCATAACCCGCTCCCGCTAAAAACACCAAGTCAGAGTCCCTTCTGACAAGATCAGGTTTAAAAATACAAATATGTAACTTTTCGACCCCGCAGGATGGCTATTGCCAATAATGATACAAAAATCCTGCTTCAAAAATCTTGAGTTATGTGGCGCGCTACTACTTGCCAAAATCGCACTTAACATAACATATAACAAAATTGTCCTAAGAAAGTCGAAAAATCGACACCTCTCTTACTAGAGTGCCTCATAGTTGTCAACATTTTCATAACGTATAAAACTTCAAAAATAAAGTTAAGGGATCATCATACTTACAATGTGATACAGTGACGCACCCAGACTTACAAAAAGTAAAGGTCGCACTTATCGCAACTATCTAAGCACTCATCAAACGGGTAGTTTATGGGAAACACTTGTTAAAGTTGTAAGTCTCACTTCAAAAAAGTGAGCGAAAATCACAAATCTCACTCTCGCAAGATCCCTCTTCAAAGGTTTGAAAGGAGCACCCATTCTGGCCATATCTGAGCCAGGCGTGGAGTCGCTATCCTCATAAGCCGATAATAAAGAGATTGCAAATAATTGCTGATAATACAGAAAAGGCAAATCATAAACAATTCGCATAAAAAATCGATAAAATAAAATAAAAAGTAAATACAATCACTACTTATTGTATTGCCAACTATAAAACCAAAAAATTGTCAGAATATAGTTGCGTATCTCAAGTCTACACCAAAATACAAATCGTAAGCAAAACCACTTGTTCTTCTTAAGTTGATTAAAACCAAAATTGCTTCTCACAGCTAATATTCGTGCCCTCGGCTACTCCATTAACAGTAAATACATTCAACAGCACAGATGTATTCATTATCAATACGTGTAATACTAGGCTAAATATTCGCCTAGGGGGCCCAGGATGTTTAAATGAGTTAAACTCCCTCCTCCAATTACACCACTCTACTCGGGAAAAACTGGCGCCCCCTAATAATGCCCACCACATACTCATCAATACACGACACCAGATGACACCACACAGGACAACACAACATACTATCTTTACATTCGCTTATCGACTACGGGCCTGAGCGCCACATCATCTTTCGCTTATTAGACCGCTAATACAGCAATCCACGTTGCTGAGCACCACATGATATTTTTCGCAAAACCAGACTTGTTCCGCAACCTTATTCAACATATCAACGATTCCGATAGACATCCGTAAGAGTAACCGTAAGAGTAACCTTCGCCTTCATCAACTTCATTTTTGGATATAAACGTCACCACAACAATCCCGCGCGCTCCGGTCAATTTAATACGACACCGATGCGCTACTTTGAACAATTATACACTTACTCGATACATTTACTTGTGTAAAATTAATTATAAACAAAATTAAGTCAAATAAAGTGTATACGTCTAAAGCGCTGTCATTTTTCTTTGTGAAAGTTCAATAGGGGAATATAGTTGGCATCCCAATTATTCAAAACCAAACAACAATAAAAAGATGAAGCTTATGATAGACAAGTTTTATAAGTCGTTCAAAATATACACAGTACACTTATAAACACACACACTATATATGTACATATAGTTTTATTTCATATAACAGATTCTTTTAAAATTCTGACAATGCATGTGTTACCCCAAATTTATTTTTTACGCTTCTTTAAATATATTTGCTTAAGAAGTAATAGTTTTAAAAAAAAACTTCTGATGTTTTGATTAACTACAATATATATGCATAGGCTCATAGGGTATATTAAGTATGCCACGAAGTTTGTAACACCCCGAAAAGTCAAATACCCTATAAAATGTATGCATAAATGATCAGCATGATGAGCTGAGTCGATTTAGTCCTGTCAGTCTGTCTGTGTGTCTGTATATACGCAAACACCTCTATTTTTATACTCTCGCAACAGGTTGCTACAGAGTATAATAGTTTTGTTCACCTAACGGTTGTTTGTATCACCTAAAACTAATTGAGTTAGATATAGGGTTATATATATATAATATAAATGATCAGGATGAAGAGACGATTTGAAATCCGGGTGACTGTTTGTCCGTCCGTCCGCCCGTGCAAGCTCTAACTTAAGTAAAAATTGAGAAACTTGACTTATGAAACTTGGCAGACATGTTTCTTGGTACCGTGAGACGGCTGGTATTGCAGATGGGCGTAATCGGACCACTGCCACGCCCACAAAACGCCATTAGTCAAAAACAAATAAATTGTCATAATTAAGCTCCATAATAAGATACACGGCTGGTATTTGGCACACAGGATCGCATTAGGGAGGGGCATTTGCGGTTAAAATTTTTTTTAAAAGTGGGCGTGGTTCCGCCTCTAATAGGTTTAATGTGCATATCTCCTAAACTGCTATAGCTATAATAACAAAATTCACTGAGAACAAATGTTAAATCGGGTGACAACCCCGCCCACTCCCCATATAACGGTACTGTTAAAAACTACTAAAAGCGCGATAAATCAAGGACTAAACACGCCAGAGTCATTAAATTTTAACACAGGGATCGTATGAGCCGACTTTATACGAGCCGTGTTCGAAATTAGACAGCCCACTTGTAGGTGAAAACCCATATCTTGGGATCTGCTTAACCGATTTCAAATTAATTCGGTGTATAACGTTCTTTTTATATTTCTATGTCATAGTGCGAAAATGGAATGGTGAAATCGGATTACAATCACGCCTATTTCCCATATAACACTATTTTCAATTCCACCTGATTCTTTCACTTTCCACTATGCATATCAAGCAACAATCATTATGTCAAGGTAAAACTTTGCGTGAATAATACGTTTAAAGTATGCCACCTTGTGAC